GGGGGGGGAGACCTGACTTAACACAAGAGAGACTATCTAGGACTTTGTGAGTTACTTAGCAACGGCACAAAGGCCAGCGAGAAGACAACATTGAAAAGAGGCACTGTGTGGCTTGAATATGTGCGTGAGGAAGTGTGACAGAACGCTTATGCGTGTGACCGTCTTCTTGGGAACGTCCCAAGGAACTGCACGTGAAAGGGCACTGAGGCCTGTGTACGAATTGTGTGTGTGTGTGTTTGTGTGTGTGCGAGAGAGGCGCCGGGGGGGGAGAGCCAGAGAGCACAAGTGGCAGCATGGATCCGAGATGCGCATCGCAGACTGCCTGTGGCCCGGCCACGCTGCGGATCTGAGGAGAAAGGAGGGAACCGAGGCATGGGAGAATGTGCGGCTGGTGGCTCCGCTGGCGGACAAGAAAGAGTGTGGCGGAGCCTATGCGCGATTTTGGCAACAGGTGTGCAAGAATTTACACAGGAAATCAGGATAGGGGTGTCAGAATGCCTGCATGCGCATAATCCGTGTGTCACATTTAAAACCAAAGGAGAGTCCCATCCTAAGCATGTTTCCCTGGAAGAAAGGAAAACACACTGTGTTCAGTGGGGCTTACTCCCAAGTAGAGGCACACAGGGCTGTAGTCTTGGCTCAAGAGGACCTAGAATGGACGGACAGGTGTGACAAAATGGTGTTGGCTGGATTTCTCGGCAAATATCCTTTGTATTGGGCTGTTTATGAATTAAAATGCAGAGGAGAAAAAAGTTATCTTCTTAATTACATTTGGCATTGGCTATTTGGGATCTCCAGAAGCAGTAGTAAAAAAAATAAATAAAAACTTTTCTCATCTCTAGTACACTTAGATTGGATTAGAGTCACTTTGGGTATGCCATCCGGGTCAACTCTAGTGAAGATCTTCCCCATTTCACCTTCTTCCTTTTCCTCTTGCTTCTCTGATTGGCCTCAACGCAGCTTGGCTCATTTTTTTTGAGTCGCCTAAAGCGGCTGGCCAACACCTTCTTACCAATCACCTGTTGTCTGATTGGGACAAGATGTGTTCTGGAGTAAAGAGTTTAATCAATATGGACATTTGTATGGGGGGGGTGAGTGGTGAAGACAGGCTCCTGAAAATGGAGATCACAGCTGGGTTGTTATGTAGAGAGCGTCCCCTTCGGTGGCCTTGGGCAAAATTCAGATCTTTCACCCCCCCTTGCCCTGCTTCCGCCTCTGGAAAGTGTGGAGGATGCTACAATTACAGAGGGATGGGAAGGCTTTACAACAATTCATGCGAATGTTGCATCAATGAAAATAGGTCTCTGCACCCAGAGGCATGCTTTTGAGATGCGAATCCTGAGATCATCTCTGCAGAAGCATGTCCTCTGTTCACAACATGAGAGCACCGGATGGTGCTACGAAATCTTTGCTGATAGCAGCTTTGTGTGTGTATCTATGCACGAGTGCAATCACCTATGCTTCCTATAGGGCGTGACATTAAAGAGGAGTGAGGAAGGGAGAATGGAATCCCCCTTGATCGGTGATGCACTGTGCGCGCGCATGAGAGAGTGAGAAAAAATAAAAGAATAAAAGTTCATAGGATCCTGCATGTGAGAGAGGGAGGCAGAAAGGACACATGTGTAGGATAAGCGCACGGCATGCGTGTGAATCAGAAGGTATGCCCCATGCTCACACTCATGGACCTTTGGGGTGCGTCTCTAGATCTAGGACCTCTGGGATCTCGCTGGATCCACTTGATCCTATCAGTGTGCTACAGAGAGAGATTGACCTCCATACTCCCAGGTAACATTTGCTCACTGGCCAGTCCCGGCCGGGAGTCTCTCCAGAACTTCTTTCCTCTCTGAAGATGCAACCTTTTTTGCACCTCCATCCCCTGCCCCATAAGAGACACCCCCCACACATGGCTGAAACTCCCCACCTGCCCACCCTGTGGCACCTGCCAGGCATTTGAAGAGGTCCACCCCCTCCAGCTCCCCCCCCAAAATGCTCCCCTCCCTCTTTCTGGGCACCCACCGTTCTCAGAGGCCGTGGATGCTTCACAATCCGAGATGAGCTGTTGGGGGTTGCGCTGTTTCCTCCGAGACATCCCTGCAGGGAGGAGGGGGGGACCGGGGAGGGGACCCCAAGTTTCCTCTCTTTGGTGGGGAGCCAGTGGGCACCTGATCCCCTTTTCTCTCAGGAATGGGATCCCTCCTGCAACCCCCCCTCCCCACAACCCGCCCCTCCTCTTTTCACACTCGCATTCCCAAGGGACCCGCCTCCCTCTTTTGTGCCTCTCCTGGTAAAAGCAAAACTCTTAATCTTTCTGTACACTCTTTTTCTTTTGTAGTAGCAGGGATTGGGAAGGGAAGGGGGGGGGGAAGAGAGAAAGCGGCTTTAACTCCTTCCTTCCCAGGGGCCTGCCTGAGGATTTCAGAATTTGGGATGGAGGGGTGGGAATCTTTGGCCCCAAGAGATGGAGAAAAGAAGATTTGGGGGGAGACAGGAGAGCAATTTTCCAAATACTTGAAAGGGAATCCTACCGAGCAGGGGCAGGATCTGTTCTCGACCATCCCAGAGTGCAGGACACATAAGAATGGGCTCAAGCGACAGGAAGACAGATTTAGGCTGAATATCAGGAAAAAACTTACTGACTGTTAGAGCAGTGCAACAATGGAGCCGATGACCGCAAGATGCTGTGGAGGCATTCAAGAGAAAATTGGGCAGCCATATATCAGTTCTGCTTTGTCTTAGATTCCTGCATTGAGCAGAGGGCTGGACTTGATGGCCTTATAGGTCCCTTCCAACTGCATGGTTTTATGATTCAATCCCTTCCGGCTAAGGAAATTTTTTTTAAAAAAAATGACAGTTGAAATTAGCCACAGGGGGCTGGAATGCAGATAGTTGTTTCTGGTTGATTGTGAAATTTAGGGATAGACTGATGCGGGCATGTGTGGCAGTGCCGGGGGAAATAAGGGGTAAACTTCATTCATTCATTCATTCATTCATTCATTCATTCAAAGCGGCTTGCATCATGAAAGAAGCCAGTATTTAAAAGCTAAAAATGGCAAGTATGCAACTATTTTACAAGAATCAAATAAATACCACACCAAGAATGGTAAACAAAATTTGAACCAAGAATGCATTTAAAACCCCTGGAGTCAATCACTAAGGGAAAGCTTGCCTGAGAAAGGTGCTTGTCAACTTAGAATTTGGAAAGCTTTGATCCGTAACAGTCTTATCTGAACATTCATCAATATGATAGCAATCATCCACCTGTATTTCTCGGATCGGATGAAGAGATGGCTAGAAACCTATGGGAGTTTTCTGTAAGATTGACATAAATTGCCCTGGTGAATTTGCAACTAATTGATGAGGTGCTAGTGTGGACCTCAGTGGCCTCACTGGGGTCATGACCAGGCTCACAGTGGAATGCCTCATCAATTAGCGGCAATTAGCTGTGGCAAGTAAAGGAAACTTTACGCAAGCATTAGCAGGATTCTGGCCAGTGTGCACAATTTAAGAAGTCAAATTCATGTATTGCAGTGTTCAGGCAAAAATTCCTTCTGATTCTAATCTCTGTTGTGATATCTATTGTACGGAAACGTCTTCCTTTACTGTGAGTCATCAGAACCAGCAATTGTACGTGTGGTTCAGCCCAGAGTCAATATGTGTTTAGTGTAGCTCCTTGAAGATAAATTTGATCTTCTGTTTCAGTAAATAATCGCATTTATAGTTAGTTTTGTGTCATCAATTAGGACCGATTTGTAGTGATCCTAATAGAGCTTTCAAGATAAGTGGGATATTTAAGGACTGGTTTTACCAGTTCCACTCTCCCCGTGAGTTTCCAAGTGGGGATTCGAACCCCAGTCTCCAAAGGCTTCGTCCGTTACTCTCTCCATGACACCACACTAGCTCCCCAAAAGCATTTATACATAGGAGATAATAGACACCTCACACTTCAACTCCATTCATGTTGGGGGTTATCTTGCTGAATACGAAGAGTTGCTGTCTAAGCCTCAGTTTTCCCCATCCGTGAAATGGGGATGGTGGTGTTAATTACGATAATGATGTTAAAAAGTGTTATGTCTGTGTTGAAAGGAATGTTATTTTTCATCTTCTGATCAGGATGGAATAAATGATGAAAATAAAAGAGGAGATAACCCGGTGAAGAGGCAGCCATTGAGATATTATGAGGTACTGGAATTAAGGGCCTGAATAGAATTGTAGAACCGTAGAATTTTAGAGCTGGAAAGGATCCTCTTGTTCAACCGCTCCCAAAGCAGGAAATCCAAAGTTGCTAGTTGACCCTCGGTTTTCCCCATCTGTGCAATGGGAATGATGAACAACAATAATAATAATCATGTGCTGTCAAGTCAACTCTGACTTATGGTGACCCTCTTCAGGGATTTCTAAGTAGAGAATGGCTCAGAAGTGGTTTCCCATTCTTCTGGGGTGCTCTGGGACTGTGCGGCTTGCCCAAGGTTACACAGGCTGGTTCTTCTCCCAGGAGACACAGCGGGGAATCGAACTCCCAACCTCCAGGTCCACAGCTGGAGTCCTAAACACCTGAGTTATGCTGTAATCAATGTGGTTATTTTTAAGAGGCCGCAAGACTTCTTATGAATAAGGCACCCCACGAGGTGAAGCCTAATGGCACCTTTAGGACAAAGTAAATTTGTTTTAGCTCACTCTTTCACAGACAACAACCCACTTCTCTGAATGCACAGAGTACGGCTCTCAAACTAAAGTTTATGTGCAATTAGTTGTGGGGTTATGGGGATGGGACAGAGCAAAATAGGATGCAGAAAAAAAATGGTCATTGCATTTAGTTCAGTGGTTTACATCTTTGGTTGCGGACTTCGATTCCCCTTTTGTGCCGTTTTCATTGCATTTAGTTCAGTGGTTTACATCTCTGGTTGCGGAGTTTGATTCCCCTTTTGTGCCTCCTTAACAGGGGCTGGACTAGATGATGCATAAGATCCCTTCCAGTTCTGCAGTTCCAAGATGATGAGGATGAACATTGGTCATCAACTTTCAGAGGGTCCGTTCGAATGAACCTCTTGGCGGTACTAAGAGTGGATACACAAATGTTCCTGGACTATCATTCCCAGAAGCCTTGACCTCTGGCTGCAGGGGTTGGGGAACCTGGGATTTGTAGTCCAAGAACATCTGGACTCCCCACTGTTTTACAGTAGGGGGGTGAATCAGAGGACGGTCCAAAATCATTTCTCTGTTTCTCTAAAGAGTGGGGAGGGCAAGATTTAAATAAGATGGGTGTCTTGTCTTTAGGGTCCACCTCCCTCATCAATCTTGCTAGCTCTTGTCTGTGTTCTTTTCTTGTTCTTCTTCCCTTGCCTTTCCACCCAGGGAAAAACAGCCCTAAAATCTGTGTTTCTCTCACCCTCCTCCTCAGTCCCCCTAGGAAAGCCAACATCTTTGACTCTCTCTCTCTCCCCTCCAACCCGTCTTTTTCCCCCCTGTCTTTTTTTCATCCACCCCACACCATTCCTGCCTCTTTTTTACCTCTTCCCTCTGGCCTTTTGACCTCCCCCCAGAGTTACAAAAGTAAAATCCTCGGAGAAGCTCGCTCGGGGAATGTTAATGAATCCATGACACAAAGGCGCAAAAGACTTTTCCTTCAGTGGTTTTGGGGGGAAACGGGGCCCCTTTGAGACCGATATTTCTGTGTGTGGCGGAGTGGAGAGGATTTGGAGAGCAGGGCGGAGAAGATGCCATGGATGTGATTGTCTCTGAATGCGCCTAGAAAATTCGGAAGACGGCAGAAGGACCAGCTTGTCTGTCTTGTCTCGCCTCATCTTTCCTGGGTTTTACTGGTCACTTCCATCGCCAGCATTTCCTGGGGTCAGAACTAAATGTAGTTGGAAAGACCCAGAGGAGGAGGAGAAGAGAAAACACCACAACAAACCTCTCTGTGGGCTTTTTAAAAAATCACAATACAACCATCTCTCTCTTTCCGGTGCACCTTTAAACCAAAAGAGATTAAAGTTGGAGGATGGATCAAATCTTTTGACAAAAACGTTCCCTTGTTAGTGATCCAAAAAGACACAAATTGGTCAGAATTGAGAAAAGTGGGTGTTTTTAAAAAAAATTCCCGACTTCAGGATCGAATCTAGGATCCGACTTCAGGATCTAGAATCAACAATGAATTTTCCCAAATTTTGGCACTGATCAATATTTCCAACAATCACAAGGACCAGGCAGTTCTAAGCATCTTTGTTTGGTTGTGAGCTTCATGGCATTTGTTGGTTAAGTGCGTGCTAGCTTAATAGCCTTAATTACTTGATCCTGTATTGAATATCATAATAACTTATAATAATAACCTATAGAACTCCGGAGCTGGAAGGGACCCTCTGGATCATCAAGTCCAGCCCCTCTCAAGGAGGCACAGTGGGGGAATCGAACTCCTCACCTCTGATACCTAAACTAGTGAACTGTCAAGCCGTTCATCATGCAAATGAATCAGATCTTGGTGTTCAGCTTTTTCCATTCCGAATACTGTTTTTGGAACAGCCAGTGATTACATCAAACAGTTTAAAACAAGCCGTGTGGGGTAATGGTTAGTGTCGTTTTAGGATAACCTTGAGACTTATGCATCACTTTGAACTCACTGGAGGAAAGACAGGAGAGAAACATAAGGAGCGAGTCAATGAGTCAATCGAAATAATAAACTGATAAATCAAAATAATAACATATGGATAGCAGCTAATGTTCGATAAAACAGGTAGCAGCGAATTTAAGAATTCCCCTGGCACCAAATACAGCGTATTAAAAAAGTTTTCAGAAAAGAAAATTCCAAACAAGTTTTGCCCACTTTCAATAAAAGCATGGGGAAAAAACCAGGGATTCTGGGGTTTTTAGTAAAAAAACCAATAATGGTTAGTATCCTATTCATGCATATACAGTAATGTAATCCATCCTCCATTCTGGCAAACTGTGTCTAATGCAACCATCTGACCTGTCCAGTTGAGCAGCTGATCTTGCAACCAGTGAGAGACTGGGCATACTACGGAGCCAAAACATTGTTGTTTAGTTGTTAAGTCGTGTCCGACTCTTCGTGACCCCATGGACCAGAGCACGACAGGCCCTCCTGTCTTCCACTGCCTCCCGGAGTTGGGTCAAAGTCATGTTGGTCACTTCGATGACACTGTCCAACCATCTCATCCTCTGTC